CACATTTTTGAGCTGATTGTAGAAGTTGGCGATTGGCGGATTCAGTCCTGTCTGTGCCAGGGTGCAGAGCTGCACTGGTGCAACCATCACCTTCTTATAAAATTAACCTAAGAATTACAATTCCTCGCTTAGCCAACAAATGCCCATTCTATCCGTGTGGCAACGCAGCTAAGCCATCCGCGGGCTGGAAATTCGCAGTTGGTGGGCAGGGAAGGCATCTGAACAGGCACCGGCCTGCGACTTTGCAGTTCAGGGGCAGTGCGGGCTCCTTTCCCGCCCACGGAGTAAATTTACATGGTGGGCTAACGGAGACACCTTTCCCGGCCAGTGGTGCTTGTGACTTCGCAGTCGGTGGGCAGGAAATCCACTTGCCGCATAGGCGTGTGGATTCCCGGTACATCACCGAGAAGGGAGCGTTGCCACCCCGGGTAGGTAAAATTCACTCTAGTTTTTTTTACAGTGCATCTATTTATCATTCGTTTAAACGTTAAAATAGCGCGATTTTTCGTAACTGGTTCCGGTCGGTATTCCTGTCTTCTTCACTTTAAGGGGGCAGACCTGTGAAAATCATCAAAAAATTCAATTTTTTTAATACCTCAAAAAATTCTTTGATCTTTCCTCTTTTTAATGCCGCAAAGCGGATGTTGAAACTCGAAAAATTGCGCTCAGGAGAGCCCAAATCGTGCAGCGGGTGGCCGGGTGGCTGAACCGCTAGGGCTCGCCTGGCCGCTCAGGACAGAATACACGACGACGAAGGAGTCCTCTAGAGCCCCGGAATCTTTTAGGACCAGTTCAGTTAGTTGCCCTGGCTTTTGGTTCGTCGCTATACATAGGTACTAAAAACTTTAAACTCGTTTTTCTCGGAACGACTGTGTGCAAACGGTGTGCAACCTCCATGCCGTAGTTATGGAGCTATCGACTTAATATTTGGCCCGAATGTTGTCCATTCATGTGCCCGGGATCTGACACGGGCGATTTTTTATAACTCAATTGCAAGGTACCCAAACCAGGGAAAAAGTACCCAAATTTTAACCCATTTTTTGTACTCATTTTTTGGGAATTTTTTTCAAGTATTTCGGTCATAACTCTACCCTTTATCCAAATATTGTCTATTTTTAAGTAGGTATGCAATGCCTATTCTCCTACAAAATTCCCACCGGAGGTGTGGCAGTCAATTGCGGAATTGTCATAAGCGGAATATTCTCTTGAATGCGCCCTCGACCTCGTGGCTCCGGCCTTCCCCGGCTGTGGGCGCTGGACCGTCGTCCCGAGCCTCAGCCGCCTCCTCGTCAACAACCTCAACAATTTTTGTTACTTTTGACGATGGCCCTTGTGGCCTAGCCTGAACGGCCCAATTAAATTCTAAATATAAAATTAACAATCCAAACAAATTTAGACCGGTCAGCGCGATTAATCCCACTACGTATAACCGTGCAGAGGACAATTTCCTCTCCCGGAAAGTACATGTAGCCCTTCATAATTTTGGTCCGCAACTCTTTAATATTTACTGCCGGGAGCGGATCTGGTTCCAGAAAAGTTGTATTGTGCAGTGTCCAAGAAGTACTGAGAATTTCGTCGTCATTTACGAATTTCGGCGCCTTAGAGAAGTCTCTTATCGAATCCAGCTCTACATTTAGTCGTGTTGTCCAAACAGCTGGCAACACAAATTCAACCCCATGTTCCGTACGACTGGCAGAATGAGGCATTGTAACCCTTTCATTAACCGCTATATTGTTGTCAACTGACAAAGTGCAGTTGCCGGGGACAGTAAATCGGAAAGACCCGAAACCTAGAGAATTTTGCCTTGTTACAAATTTTCCACATCGAACTGAAATAGCGTTGCTGCCTGCTGACGCGACAATGAATTGGTCTGCTGCCAATTGTAGAATAGCCGGTTTTGTACTTTGTTTACAATGAAATGGGCATGACTTTGCTAATTCTGCTGCCGTGCGCCCCGAACAGAAATTGCGCAGGCATTGCTCCACGGTCGTGTAGCTACCTTCTACACGTGGGACCTGACAGACATTGCTCTCCTTGCAGTGCCTAAGTTCCGGCCCTGTTAGGGGAATCACCAGGTCGTAGCCCCTAAATTTCGACCATGCATTACTGATCCTTTCACTATCAGCAATCATATATAATTGCTGATATTTCAGCATGTGAACTGCTGGGTTTCCAGAGTGAACACCTTACCCGAGATGTTTTTCACCTACGACTTTATTCATTAATTCTGAAATAAATCAGGGCGAATAGAAGAGAAGCTGTACTATTATGTACATTTCTGTTCAATTCGTTGTCCACCGTAGAGAGGGAAACAAAACATGGAGAAGGAAACCGTGCACAAAACAAAGGTATTGTTTTACCAGACGATGTCGCTATCATGATCTTTGGACGAACGTGCGCGCGATGGTATTTCGTTGTCGGAAGAGGGCAGGTTGACATGCATACCTTGTGCATCGACACGGCAGCTACAGGTTTTTAATAGAGCTCTCTAGACATTTGGTAAACTATGGTCTGGTCCGGTCCGTAAATGCCCTTGAACTGCTTTGGAAAAATAAATGTAACATTTTCAACATTTGTCAGTCTTTTTTAATTAAGCATTTTCGTTAAATAACGTTGTGTCGTTCAGTCCCTTGACATAACGCGTATTTGGCGTCATATTGTCATCTACATATCCGTCAACTGATTGGCTCACAAATATCCAGGTGTTGGAAACTGTATTAACCCTTGTCTGGATTGTTTTGAATACGATGTGACCATAATAAAGTTAGTGGACTATTATTGTTTTTTTTTAGAAATTTTCAATCAATCAACTTTAAAAGTTTCACCTCGTGACACGCGAGAATAAAAACGGCTCACCTCTAGCGGCGGTTTAGAAAACCGCTCAAATGATTTATTTTTTTTTACACATTTTGAGATATTGGTATCAAAATTATCTCCACTCTCATCCTGTTACTAGTTTTTTTCACCTTTTGTCAGTATTCCTGCTGCGCAAAAACAATTTCTTTTATAATTACTGGACAGTTTTTACTTTTATCATTGAGCTACTTACAACGATATCCAGAATAACTAACAAATTAGTCAGTAATCCTGCTGCATAAAAATCTTTATAAGCTACTAATAAATAAATCAGTACAGGTCTGAGAGTGATCCGAAAGACGTTATTTGGAATGATGCCAGAGGTAAGCGGTTATCTTAACGGTCGCTAGAGGTGAACGGTGTTTATCCTCGTGTGTCGCACGGACAGTTTCGAACATTTTAAATTTAAACTGTTTAGAAACATAATTTGCCAAAGTATTTGAAAAGTGCCGAGGGGGCAATAACTCCGGGAATCATGTGTACACCTGCCCGGGTATCATCAGGAAAAAAAATTATCGAAATCAACAGAAATCGCTGAAACTAGGCGGGAAACAAGTGAGACTTATACAAATTAGTCGAAATGAGCGTTTTCTACCACTAGCAATCACGAAAAAACCTAAGGTATGAATAGTAGCGGACGGGAACCACTGGGTATCAAGTATTTCGGGAATCATGTGTACATATCAAAAGGGAATTATTGCCCCCTCAAAGTGCCAAACTTTTTGGGAAATTTTTGTGAACTGTATACTTATATTTCTAAATGTTTATACAAATTTGCATTTTTTATGTTTCTGAACCTAGTTCTGGTGTAAAATTGTACTTTTCTGATGATTGTTCGGGAATTTCCAAAAAATTGCTGGATTTCGTTTCAAACACCATTATAAAAATGTTTCTAAGCTCTTCAGACAGATTTTTGTTAGACTATTTTTACTGCCGAATTTGTACTCACCACGTAATTCCAGGATACTCCGTACGCCATGGGACTCGCTATAGTTTTTAGTACTCACCTAAAGAAAACTTTCATTGTGTTGGGACTAGAAGGAGGTGTGTCCCGAAAATAATGCGACAATCCCTACTCAAGAAAAACAAATGTGCTACATAATAACACATTTTAAAGGTGTTACTGAACTAGTGTCTGAGTAAATGCACTGAAAATAGCACATTTGAGTGCCAGTAGCGCCTTCGTAAAGGTGTCATTTCTCTTACACCACTGAAAAGGTATTAGATAGGACTTTTGTTTTTCCCATGTAATCAAGCGTCCAACTCTTAGACTCACTGTGCAAAAATATCAGTGTTTACAGAGCACGACGAAATTACAATAATGTCAAATAATAATAATACATAATCTTAGTTACTAAATACCATTAGTTCTGTAGTGTTAGGATATTCTGCCCCACATCGTGACGCAAGCAATTTTGTACTGCACTGACTAGCTTCCATGGGAGTTTCAGCTCAAAGGACATAAGCATGCGTCTTGAAAATAGATTCAAGATACACTGCAGACTTCAGTGGGCCGGCAGGATGTTTCTCGTATTCCTTCTCTCATCAGTTTTGGCCAAGGTGAGTTTTAGCCCACACTTCGGCTTCAGAGATGATTCAGAGTGTCCATCTGATCGTGCGTCGTGGGAGTGACACAGTTCCTGTGAGGGCGTTAATGCCCAATCCCTTGTTCCACCCACGGTCACCCTGCTGAGACATGCTCATTTATGGCTGTTCCAGCTGATATTAGGAGAATTTTGCTAAGTTAAGGACCTACCTGGCCACGGAACCTTAAATGAAACTTCAAGTTTAGCACATCATTTAAAGTGTTTTGACGTGTAGATTACATTTCTTTCAACGAAGTTCAAAATTTTTGCAAAAATAAGCCCATTTTGGAAAAGGGTTACTTCTCGGGACATTCCTCAATAAGAGATCTATGTTAAACTTTGATTGCGTGGTGCGACCTTTTCCCGATGTCCGATCAAGTTGAGTGAGGTGTGAAAATTTTTTATTTTGCAAGTGGCACCTTGATCCAAGCACTCTTCCTATCTTTTTAAATCTTCAGTTGTTTTTTTTTTTTTTGCCGCCCACTACTGTAGCGTCAGAAAAAAAAGGCCACATTTAGCCCCCTTTTTCTGTGATACCCCGTTTCACTCCCATTAGGGTGGTTGCAAGGATTTGTACCAGGCTTTTTGGTGTCCAAGTGACCCTTGAGATAACCTAACACTTTCAGCTCTCCAGCTGACCTCCTTCCTCAGGCTGACAGACGAGCGACGCGTCCTTGTCGGCTCTTGTTGGGGAGTGGGCCGACTCTAAAGGTTATTGGCCGAGCTATTAGCGAAGCCCATTACTCCACTTATCCAAAAAGTTCACTTTGTTTGCTAATAAACTCGAGAAGAAATCGAGTTAGCGATCTGGGAACTTTAGGGTCGTTTTGTATCACTAAAACATAGATCGAGGTAGGTTCAAAGATGAGCATTCTAGGCCAAAAATTGGCTTTAAAAAAATCAAAAACCACATGTCGCCAAAAACATTTAGGTGTTTTTTTATTGCTTTTCAAGGGCAAGTTTCGGAAGTAGAACCTTGGCAATAATTTCGTCTGGTTTGCTTCACCTCGTACCGTTTGGGTGCTAGGGGACATTTCTTTACGAATATAAACCGAAAATTAACAACGTCGAAAAACTAGTGTTCAAACCGAAAAACTGCAGAAGTACCCTCCTGAAACCACACATTTGGAGTCGGAGGACCGTTTTAAGGTTCTAGATGCCCTTGACCTCTAAGTATCACAAATAAGTTGGTTATTACGTCAGAATCACACAAAATTCGGACTTTAAATTTAATCTTTTCCAGTTTAGCTCCGGTCCCGATTCGCATATCTTGAAGTGATAACCCTGGCAGTCGCTGTAGGGGTATTCGATTTGGGGCCGAAGTTATACCTTAACTTGCTTTGGTGTCAGCCCGGCAGGCCTAGCTAAATGTGCGCTAGGCACGGCGCAGCGGAACGTGTCGTGAGATATCGCGAAGCCTGTTACGCGAGACGTGGTCTGGCGTTCACATAGCTAGTACATCCTCTTTTTAACTTGTCAGATCAGAGCTTAACTATTGTCTTTTGTGTTCAATTTTGTCTTCAATAGACCAAGCTATCGTCAAAGATCAAGATGTCAATGAAATACTACGATATTAAGGCATGCGACAATGTGGTACATTACTTTCGCTTTACGAAAGTCGACTATCGCATGGTGGATGGTGGTGACGTTGTTGACACCGACTGTTATGTGGATGTTGATGTGAAGTATCTCAAAATGGTAAATAGAAACACTGTTGAGGGGAGAAGCTCAAGATCCGCTGTCGCCCCACAAGCTCGATAACCAATCGTTGACCCTTTACCGTTATTTGCAGATCTTCGTCCAACTTCAACGATGTTCAGGGGGAGTTGGTCGAAATCAATGCGAATACTTCACTGGGTTAAAGTGGACTACGAATCTGTGTGAACTAGCAACCGCAAAGAACATGTTATGGACGCCGTTTGTGGATAAAATCACCCCAACCTTCAAATGTCCTTATAAGGCAGTAAGTTTTCAGTGGTATTTTGAAGCAATATACTACTAAGAGAATCCCGACGCAAAAAGATTTGTTTGCTTTTGGTACGCTTTCGGTACGCTATCGGTTCGCGGAGGGTCGCGCTCGGTGCGCCGATGGGTCGCCGAGGTTCGTCAGGCTCCTGGGCGACGTATCGCCAAGATTCGCCG